TTTGTTAAATATTTTATAAAATACTTAAAATTAAAAGATACTATTACTGGTATTCGTTTTTCAAAACACTTTGGAGAAAATGTTGGGGTCTCTAGTTCTTGGTTTTTGAAAAAAAAAAAAAAATGAGGGCCCCTGCTGTTACCATTAACAACGAATTGAAAAACTGTTATATTACTTGGTGCTTTTTTTAAAGAACTTATCAATTCGTGAAATTCCTTTTTTTTTATAATTCGACAAAATTCTGAAGGTCCTTGATGTTTGTTTGTTTCGGAAACAATTAAAAAACCTTAGGGACCCTTGGTCTTTCATTTTTGAAAAAATTTAAAACAATTTTGGGGTCTTTGTAACTTTCATAAAAAAATTGAAAAAATTCTTAATGTCCTTGATGTCTTTTTGTGACTTTTGGTGTTTCCTTTTTGAAAAAAATAGAATCTCTCTACAGAAGAACATCATTATCGCCGCCCACCCACCCTGTCTTTTTTTCGGTAATTTTATCCGATCTGAATGAAATGAATAATCTTATACGGAATAGAAATAAAATTAATCCTTAGAATGACAAAAGGGGGGGGGTGGGCGGGGCTAGTACTTGCTAAGATAAGGCTGATTTTGGCAAATGACATACCTTCTTAGAAAATATAGGGCGGGTGGGTGGAGTTAGTACTTACTAAGATAAGACTGATTTAAAAAAAAAAGTTACGATTAGCGCTTTTTTTCTACTTTTTTCACATTCTAGACTCTATTATTAGTTTCTATTCCCACTCGAAAGAAGAACATAATTAGCCCCGCCCACCCACCCTGTCTCCTTTTCAGTGATTGATTTTATCCGAACTGAATGAAATGAATGATCTTATACTGAACAGAAACAAAATTAGTAGTTAGAATGAGAAGAGGGTGGGCGGGTGGTGCTAGTACTTGCTAAGATAAGACTGATTTTGGCAAATGATATACGTTCCAAGAAAATAAAGCGAGGGTGGGCGGGGATAGTTCTTGCTAAGATAAGAATCATTTTGGCAAATGACATATTTTCCAAGAAAATAGAGGGTGGATGGGTGGGGCTAGTACTTGCTAAGATAAGAATACACTGTTTGGGCATGTTTCTGTAAAAAATAAAGTTTTCCCACTTTTGAGCTAAAATACACAATTTAAGGTAACTGTTGAAATAAGTATAACGTAATTTAGGGAGAAATAAAGTAAATAATATGTGTAATGTAAAAAAATGCTGCAAAGACGAAAAAAAAAATGTTCTGCACAAAGCGAAATTCGAACTCACGGTTCTCTGTCTATTATAGAAGGTGTTTACACATTTTCTTTTTCATAGTTATATATACCTACCATCAAAAACAATATAATCAATACAACCTTTATTTAAATGAAAATAGGCACACAAGATCCGGATCATTGGCTCGACCTGACAAATTCACTTGTATTCGCAAAAGCCTAATCACTGCGTATACGTTAAATTGTTTGAAACCCTATACATTTTTTATTTTAGAGATTGTTGTACAGATTTTTTTTCTAAATTTATTGATGGATCATAATGCCATCTTTATTAAACAGTTATGCTAAAAACTAATTTAATTTTTGTGTCAAGAGAACTGTGATGGATTTATTTCCACAGTTATTTCAGCCTACAAATGCCAAAATTGTTGTTAGCAATTTTTGTAATTTTTGTTAACGTACATGAAAATAATAATAATTCAATAGAAAATTTAATTGAAAACATTAAATTATTAGTGTCTGAAAATATTAAAATGCGATTCATCAATGAATTAAAAAAAAAATGTAAAACAACGAAAACATATATAGGGTGTCATTAAAAGAAAATTGAATGATATAGGCTAAGTAAAAACAAATGAGCGTCAAAAATTAATTTTTCAGATCAGATCGTAGTATATGGATTGAAGACAATTTAGTTTGACTTATCGTTATCACACAATGCTACATGCGAAAAAATAAGGCAAATACGGATCTGATCTGTTTTCGTCGAACACATGGTATAATCGTGAAAATAATATATTAGTAACATTAATACAATAATTTCCACGATCATGTATTTGTTGACTATTATAACAAGTTCAGTAAGTGCTTCAAAGTAATTTCTGGTGGTTTGATTGTTACAAATAATAAAAATGTATGTTTTGATTGATGAAGAATCTATGACCGACTGCACTCCTCCTGAAATAGAGGAAGAGACATAAAAGTACAATAAATGTTACAAGTTGTTTATTAATTGGTGTCAGTTGAGAGATAATACAAGGTAAACAAAAAATAATTGTTATGATAGTATTTTTCAATGAAAAATCGAAAACTATAAAATCTACAAGCTTTTGGCCTATCTATAATATGTTGAAAACAACACCCCTCGTAAAGGAAAACATCGATATTTCCAAATATGTTAAATTAGTTGGATTTTTGGATTTTTGAAACTTTGTCAAGAACTCAAGTTATAAAATTTCTTATCGAAGCGCCTGATGACAGATTTCTAACGTTAAAATCAGTTAGTCATATTTTAAAGTATACCTACTCTAAACATTGAGATTATCCTAAGTCGCTTTAATCCTTGGTTTTTCTGGTGCTTGAGACCAAAATTAACTTTATAACCTACAAGAAAATAAAATCGTCAAAATTCCCAACACCAAAACTCACACAAACTTCTACAGTGGTCAGTGTAAAATAAGAATGCAACGTTGAGGAAAGGAAAATCCGCAGTAGCTAATTTTTTTTTTAGATACGAAAATGGCGAATGTCGTAATAGTCATTGGTTTTAACACATTTTGCCGTTTGCCTCAAATAATTGTTACTTATTTAGATTTACATAATCCTAGTTTATTTACGAGCCACTGCCTCCGCAAGACTTCGGCGACAATGTTAACTAACACCGGTGCTGATTTTGTTCAAATAAAAAAATATGGTAGCTGCAAGTCCCCAATAGTGGCCCAGAGGTATGTTGATGAGTTGACCACTCCACTGATAACTGCGACACGAATATTAACATCAGTTTCTATTTCTATTTGTGATAAAATGCTTAGATTTGAAAAAGTGATGACTCTTAGCCCGTTGATTTTCCACAAAACTGATTTTTCAACTCTTGGTCAGCAAATACTAACAATACAGAACTAAGTATTGTACAATAAATACCATGTACATATTAATAAATATTGTAATAAAAATATTATATGTTGCATTCGCAGTAGTAGGAAAAATGTTACATGGAACATACACGCAGTTTCTTAACTCAAAATTTTAGTTAGATGCATATTACGCTATTAATTTCGTTTATTTGTCTGTCAAAATTGTATCAAGAGTGTATCCTGTTATTTTGCTATGTATCATGCCGAGTTTAACTTGTCACTATAACAATACGACATAGTTGATAACAGGAATATATTCAGTCAATTCTTGATAAAATAGAGCAGTTCTATTTTTATCAGTAAATATTTTGATAATTGTTTGGAATTTAACTAAAAGTTATGCTTGTTTATTGGGAACTGCTGGGTTTTTACAAAAAATTATAGTATCTTAATATTACTACAGTTAAAAAAAAATTTGAAAGTGATTATTGGCGAATTTCCATCACTACATATTTTTTAGAGCATATACGCATAGACTCCTATTTTATTGGTCGACTAAGTACGTTGCAATAAATCACTGCATCAATCAATCACACTTTTATTTATGTAATTTGTCATCCATAATTGCAAACTTTTGTGCAGCTTCGTGAAACATAAAATTAACTGATCCACGATGATTTATGAATTACACTACGACACTTGAGTTGATAAATTTTAAAGTGATAATCGTGCATTTAATGAAATTAATGAATAACAATATTTTTGAACGTAGGACGGTTTGTTTGTTAATACATTAATAAAAAAATGTTAAAATGATTACAGCTGTTGAGGGAGGTGCCTTAAATTGTTTGTACAACATAAATACGGAAAGTGGTGAATAAAGAGTATAGAATTTGCTTAAAACTGAGACATTAATAACCGCTGAAAACTAAACCAGTGGGTACTGTGACAAATACATCAATAAAATTCAATAAATATTTAAGCTCGTCATATAGCTTAAGGTCAAACCTGAATCTTTTCGGCCCCCGGAAATCATCTGTAATAAATCCAATATCGAGAACGCAGCTTTAGTGGTTGAAATCTCCAGGGACATTTCGTATCACCTGACACCAAATCATAATTACGCCGGTTGAGACCGTCTCGGGGCTAAATCAAGTTCGAAATCATGAGAAAACTTATCGGAAAGATTTCAAATTTGTCCACGTCGAAGTTGCTGCTATTTTTATACCACAAATCGAAAACTCTTTCCTAAAATAATGAGTTCCCCTCAGTTTCAAGCTTTCAAGAAAATCGCCATAAGAGCATCATGCTAATCCGATTACCGGATGGTCCATCCACGCAAAGCTTTAATACTGACTGAAAGAGCTTGAATCATATAATTTTCAATAAATGATGGGGATTTAGAAGCTGCGGAAATCGTTCAGAGAAACCTATTAACGGTGGCAAATTATGAACACAGTTTTAAAAGTTGTAGACTTGGCTTATACTAAAAAATATTGTTAGTGCAATGATCATGATAGTATTTTTTACCTTAATCAGTTGTAAACATTAACATAGAAAAATTACCCATAAATATACATTTCTTATCTGTTCATCCTGTGTGCACTAAGTAAAGCAAATTCTGCACCGCACCTTCGCCCATTCAGATCGAATAAATCTCAAGTGTGTGGGAAGTAAAAAGCACTAAACCAAGATCGGAAATGACAAATTAATGCGTAATTGGGTTCACTTGTATTTGGCTTGATTCTTAATGGAATTGACAAGGCGCCACTGCAAGATTATGACCCTTCAAGCCGTGCAGCGAAAGAGATTTCGTCTCAAAAACAATTCTATTAAAGCCACGTTTTTGTGGTTAGTGTGCATGAATCACATTTAAGTTTTATTTCAACGGTGGTAGACCATATTGTAAGATTTTTTTTCTTGTTACAGTCAATTTGCCCGAAAGAAGTGGATCCCCTATACAATATCCGTCACCTACTGGTTTTGCTACTTACTGCAGGACGCTGTGGGGCTCACCCTTCATTTCGGGGAGTCCTCGGTATCTGTCTCTTGCTCATAATCATGCGGAACAATCATCGGAGAAAACGAAAGGTAAAAATCTTTAAAACCGACAAAGGGATTAAGTGGTGGGTAATTGCCATTTCCGACGTTCAAGTGGCGGCTCGTGTTCCTAAATAGACCTCACAAGATGGTTATTACATCATTTCCGAATCTATACGATGGGCCATCGTGTTCATTAATGCATTGTTGAAAATGTCGTTAATAAAAATATGATTTTATGTGTTCGGTGACTGTAAATATTTATAACTAAAGAACAAAAAGAGTAAAGCTCATCTGAATTAATAAAGTATCCAAACCACTACTTTTCGCTAATTTTAAATTTTATTGTATAATTTTCAAGTTTAACCGCAACAACGTGTGTACAGTAATACGTGAAAATATTTCATGTATAGTTGTATACGACAAAATTTTTGAAAGAGTTGTAGCGATGAAATGTTGTTACGGTGGTGTAAAAAATTTATAAGGTACATGTTTGGAGGTGGCAGGTATTAGACATAAGATTAGTAAAAGTGAGGATTTCAATAAAAGCAAATGAATTTCCAATATTGACAAAATTCACGACGACGGATTCTATCAAATAATAATATATGATAACGAAAATTTATAGCGGTTTTAATTCGCCGTTTTTGGATGATGGTCTGTCAATATAGAGGTTTATTGCATAGCATAAAATGCTTTACTCCACATATTAAACCCCAATAAAAAATTTAAATGGTTTTTATTGCGTCATTGGTAGGGATTTGTTCCCCAATAAATCAATATTATCGATTGTTTTATCTAGGTAATCTCAGTATGAAAAGTAAATAGAAGTCAGCTTTGAAGTAACCGTGATGAGATTATCGTTTATGAGAGGTGTACTGGAAAAAAATCTAAAACTTCTCGAACTAATGAGCGATTTTTACTAATTGTTACAACAAAATCTTTATCGCTCTCATCACGACGGATATAAAAATTTCGTGCTGATTGTACGACAATCCCGAATCCTGTCACCGTAATCCCTTAATTCTTCTCACAGCTGAATTTTGCTTTCTAATCTGCGATAATTTATAGAATTAGTAACTGTTTTTCACACTTTTATTGAAGAAGAGATTGTTTTTATTAGGCAGGCGTAAAGTTTTTACGTCATTTGGTCCTTATATAGTCTTATCTTGAACTTTTCATTGCCATAAATATTTTTTATTATTGCTATATATATTCGTCTGGTATTTTTTCAGTTTTAACCTTTAGTGTGCTAATCAAAGCTGTCATAAATTGCTTAACACGGTGGACAAAATCCGCTAAGTCATGGAATTTGATTAAGATAAATATTTTAGTGACAATAAACGCAGCTTGACGTATTTTTCCAAACAGGAAATATTTTTGTTTGTTAAATAAGAGAAAAAGTCCTTCCTCGCAACTGATTTTTTTAACTTATCAAATTATACGTCTCACGCAAGATAGTAGTAAATTTTTAGGGATCTGGAGTTAAAATTTCAGCCTTAATATTATCTTGTATTTCTCCGAAAATATCCACAGCGATCAGCTTTGTTTTTATTAATATGTACCATAAGATATATTACATGCATAGCAACTTGGTGTTAGTTCACTTTTTCAACGTCCCTTGTCTCTTAAATATTTCCTTTACTTAGTTATCTTTAACTTTTAATTGAATGTTTAGTAATATTTTTTACAGTGGAATACAAGATTATTCAAAATGACCTAATAGGTTGTTTTAATTGTAATGCACTAAATATTTATCGAGAAATGGTTAAATTGCAGTAATCAAACATTAAGAAAGACCTTATCTTAAATCTAAAACAAATACGTTATGACTTATGACAAAGCAATTTCAAGTTTAATTTTTATAACACTTTAAATTAATAATCAGATGAATCAGAGTAAAACTAATTACACATCAGCGTTAGGACATTATATCCGTTTTTGATAAGTTATCAGTTTGTATAATTCACTTTCACTGATATATTTTTACTCATCCATGAATACGTAAAAAATACACTTTTACATAAAATTTCACAAGTGTATGCATTTTGTTTTTGTCTGTTTTATGGATTGAAACAATGTATTAAAAAGGACTTTATTTATGTATAACAGTTCTTATAGCATTATTCAGCAAAAACAGCTTTCCGATGATAGCAAATTTGAGAGTGTTGTATGCAACACTCCTAACATCCTTGGTTTGCTATATCTAAAAATTTCAACGAAACTTGCGATAATAATATAAGTGATACTTAAGCAAATCGATCATTAAACTAATTTATTTCATATCTGAAGTAGCAACGAGGAGTAGACACTTCGCTTTCGAAAGGTGTTTGATATCAGATAGCACTCTCGGTGCATCTAAATTTGAAAACACACGTACGTTGTGATCGAATGGAATCAATATTCAAACAATCCCGTGTTAGATTAAATGTGATTTACAATCCGTGAAGTAATTCATCATACTGACATCGATATCTGAAATCCCTGCATTATCGGTCCTTTCATCGAGCCGCTATCTCGAGCAACGTCTGGATGGATAATCCTTGCGCACATACCGCTGTCCCACAAGTTCAACAGTTCCTGTGTACATTTTCCAGCTGTTTAATAACATCCAACGAATTAAAACCACCCCAAAGAAAAAATCATAATAACGCCACTATTTCTGACACACTTATCTGTGAGTTTCTTTTCGTGTAAGTCCCTGTTTCCTCGCCGAAAACTACTTTTATAGATAGTGACAATCCTTAAATCAATATATCTATTTTGTAATAGGTTACCATTAAATGGCTAAATCCGGAGATAGCGGTACAAGGGCACATTCATCCACAAGTTAGTACTTTTAAATACTTGACGCTTGTTTCAAATAATAAAAAATAATTTATGTGTATTTAGTGATATGTATTACCACGTAAAATCAACTTTGTACTATCTGGAACGTCTGCTTTTATTGACTTTACCTTCGTGTGTAATTTTTAACGATTGTGATCAACATTAAACAGCTAGGATAATTCTAAATAGTTAGCTCTGTCATTACTTTATGGGGTTAAATGATAGGCATCACTGTTCCAGGAAAGCCCCAGAGTTATAAAACATACTTCATTTTTTCTGCATGCGTTTAGAAAAAAATTTTAATTGTAGTGTTACAAAATTTTGGTTTCATTTAAAGATTTAGAACGTTCGCTATTACATTTGGATAATGTAGTCATGGACATGGTGGTAGGCGACGCTGATAACATTATCAAACGATTTTTCATGTTTGCGACACTGATGAATACGTAAACAAGACAGAGTGACTCCCATTCCTGGTCCAAGTACCTGTGCCCGTATTACATATCAGAAACGATATGCATTTTATTCGTCCATAAAAGATAAAATGTCAGTGTTAACTCTGGTACATAGATTTGGCAACAGGGGTTTCAGATATTTGGGCATTATTTGTCTGTGTACTTAATGACAGTTAATTTCAGAGGGAGTTTTTAATTTTATTTTCTCATAAGCTAAATATAGTTATGATTGACATCTTCTTAGGCTTTATAACCACTTCTTATTTTTGAAGTTCCGATGCGACGTTGCCACGTTATTTCAATTTTCTTAAGGTACAAGAAAAAAGTTGTAATTGGGTTACTTTCGAAATAAGTGTTACAATATTTTGTGGACAACAAATAAAGGTACCCGGTTTGTTGTGGTGTAAACAATATTGAGTAGTAATGCCCATGGAACAAATCACTCCATATAGCCGAAAATAATTTTAATGTATGGTACTCAAAGAACGGTAGAATTTTAGTTTCTTAATTTTGTTGGTATTTCTAATAATAATTATTGTCTTTTAATTAATTATAATTAATGAGATATAGGACCACACAGTTAGCGACTTACCGGCTATATCATTTGCCACACCTCCGTACTACCCAGTTTCCTAACTGAGACTACGAGATCCTCTGTACAATTATTTAGAGTCTTTAGGAAAACAAAACACTTTTCCAACCAAAAAATATATAATGTTATGGGTATTAGTGACGTCAGGTTTTCAGCCTGTACTAATTTTCAAAATACTTTGCTATGGCAATAGATTTTTTGTTTGCTGCAATTTTGAAACTTTCGGACTTTGAATTATCTGCTAAGTTGATTTTTCTCAGCCCACGAAAACAACAGTTTACTAGCGACTAAAGACACTATTTCATAAAAATCAAGCGTCAAGTGTCAACTTAATGCGTTTTGATAGATTTTATAACAAAACTCTACATTAACACAGGATTTGTCTTTGTTTAAAACAGACATGAATGAAAGAATCTAGAATTTAGTACTCATCACTCATGTGATATGAAGCAATATGTAAAAACGACATTTTTGTTATGTTATGCAATAAGTTATAAATTATGTTTCAACAGTTTTCTGATCGTGTATTCTTTAATCTCTTGTTATCAAAAACAAATCGAACGGAAATATTGTTGACTATTTTGCGTGTATTAAATTTGATTTCCGTTGGATAAAGCTTGGGCAATTGTTGGCAAAAAAATTACAAACAAAGCCGACTTGACAAACAAATCGTTAATACCATGAAATCCTACAGATCTGTTCAAATCTTCACCTTGATAATTTTACTTTTTAGTTATCACTTGGTTTCATGGCTGTCGTCTGTGTTTATTATATAGATGATGTCCGAAAGTATCAGATTATTGTTATCAAATTTTAAACTCGTGTTTGAAATATCGTGTGTATTGTAAATCGCTAACCAAAATTTGTCTAATCATCCCCAGCAAAAATTTCGTGACGTCACCTCGAAATTTTTCATAGTAAATGTTATTTAAATTTTGTAAAATAATATACTCCTGTACTTGTGGTTTATGAATCTGCTTTGAAATTTTACCCTAGGCAGATTTTCGCAAAAAAAATCCAAATAGCGTAATAACATCTTAAAGCAGTGTAGGTCCAGTGGTAATCGTGTGGAATTTCAATTTTACTTCACGGTCGATATTATTGCCCTTTCTCTTGTCCGAAATATTATGAATTTAAATAAAAAAAAAATTGGTCATTGTTGTAAAAATAACTTT